TGCAATGACTTGCTGATTTCTGCTGCCGAGTTTGTCTGCGAGGCTGTACACTAACCGTAGGGTTAGATTCGCAATTTTGTTTGGCTGAGGGCTAACCGAGTGACTTGCCTGTGGGGAAATTCGCGAGGGACAGACCTGTAATTCTGAGGGACTACAGGCCCTAAACTAACCGAATCCCTACTACTACCCTAACTGCCTATAGCAGGCCCGGGCTACCCTAGGACAGACAGGCCCTAAGCGGCCTATACTGGTATGCGGTCCTATAGCCTATAGCCGGGTCCGGTAGAGGCCGAGAGGCCGAGAAACAGCAACGGTACCGGTAGGTCCAGTCAGTCCAGTTTCGGTCTAGGCTAGTGTAGGAATCTATAAGTCTAGGAGGGAAACTGATAGGGGGACTTGTGGCTTTCATTTTTCGCATGCAGCGTTGGTGGCCAACCAAGTTGAGCAGCGCTGAATGTCTGCAGTGGCACCGGAGACATCAGCCGTGAGTGGAGCAGCCATAGCCCGCCACCTGAGACAGCCATAGCTGGGGCTGTACTCAGCGCATCTATCCCCTGGGGGATATCTGCGTTGGCAGGACTATCTGGGAGGTCTTCAAAGAGTACATGTGGGTACTGCTGCTGCGGTAGCAGCCAGGCGGCCATAGCTGTCTTCTTCATCGTCAGGGTGACTCATCGGCACTGGAGGCTACTTCGCTAATTCATGATCTGCATCTGGGTGTATGGCGCTGGCCTTTGGGAGGCTATTTCTGGGCAGCGCTAGACTCTGAGAGTGTGGTAGTGAGTGGAGTGTGTGGTTCCTGAGTGGCGAGATACTGGGTTGAACTCTGTTACGATAATTGAGGTTAACTGAGTTGAGTTGGCTCATCATCTGGGTTACTTTCCAATTGTGATCTTCGCAGTGTCAATTGTGATTGGTTGTTGGGAGTGTGTCAGGGAGAGAGAAACACTGAGTGTATTCTCCCCTTCTGTGCATAATTGCTATTCCGCTGTTTATCTCTGATCTGTGTGCAGTTGGACCCTGTCTCCTTCTCCCCTTTGTCTCATGCATGTATGGGCGTGTGTGAGTTCTTATGAGTGAGAGTGGCAATCAAATTGTCAGACACCCAAGTTCATAATAGTTGGTATCGGAGCGAAGTTTGGAATTGGAGCTCAGAGGGTTGAGCGCAACAGGGGCAACTTCTCTTTCTGGCCCTGACTGGCGAGAAGTGCCATGGTGGTTCTTCTTCTTCAGTGAAGATCCAGTGGAAGAGAAGACAGACAAGCGGTGATTGCAGGAACATCAGTTTGCGATTGATCAGGCACCCTGAGCCTGTCTGAGTGCCTGACAGGAAGTGGCGAGAATAGGGTCATTTCGCCATCCACCCTCCTGACCACAGTTGATGACTGGGTCTAGGGTGGCGAAATTTACCCTAATCCAGTGATTACTGGGTGGCGGCTTCATTCCCAGTGTAGCGCTGAGGGAGGATGGATCGCAGGATCACCTCCTGCTAAATTAACCCTACGTAGGGCTAAATTTAGCACCAGCGGCACATACCCTGCAGTGGCGAGATATTTTCAGGAGAGTTTTCTCTCGCCAATGGGGCAGATTCAGTGTATCTGAGAGTTGGGGGTGAATCGCCTCATCATACTGGACATGATCAACAAGTTTCAGGAGATTCTGTATGTGGGAAGCTCGGGAAGACTGTCTGCAAGTACTGGCGAGACCAGGGCTTGGCAGCCATAGCCAAAGCTTCATCATCCACTGAGGGTTGTACTTCAAGTGAGTTCGTTCCATACGAATCCCTGAGTAGCGATTAATATAGAATTAGTAAAGATAGGATTGATGGTCTGTCTGACAGTACTGCAACAATCGAGAAATTGTCAGACTGCAGGATAGCCATATCCATCTTCTTCCCCCCTACCCTGACTCGTATCTCTTCATCTACTGACCTGTTCTGACTCCAAATTGTTCTGGGACTGCTTTACAGTATTGCGCTGCATCCTGTATGGTCATTCTGCGAATTCTGTACTGAAAAGACAGTGATACTGTAGATTTGAGTTTTGCGCTGAGCCTATTTATAGTCTAGGCTACCTGGGGTGAATCGCAATTCTATTTTTAGCAACCCTGCTAAAGCGCTAGTCCAGAAACACTGTATTTGGGTCATTACAGTACATTCCTGAAATTCGCCATATCTGGGGTAATTTCTGTTGATGTCAACACTGGCGAAATTTGAGTTTGGGGCTGTCAGGGAGTAGGCTACTAAATCGCTACTACCTGTTGCTGTGTTTCAGTCAATTCTTGCCTACCCTTATCAATACTACTAATCTACGCTGCTTTTTGATGGGCTCTGGAATACTAGTGACCCCTCGAATGTTGTGAAACTGCATGTTGCAACTTCAGTAAAAGTTCAGTGTCAGGTATAGGAAATCGTTAGTGAATGGTTTTACTGGAACCCTGTCAACCTGATTATTGACCCCAGTGGTCCTGTTCCAACCCTAACTGCTTGTGCCCACTAACCCACATTGCTCTGTGAACTGACAGTGCCGCGAAATTTGAGTGTATGTGTGAGCTGTAAATCGCTGCACCCCCCTGCTGTTTCATTTTGTTTTATTGTTGTTTGGTGAAGGAAAATGTCTGCCGCCTCTGACACAGGTGCAACAGCCTTCAGCCTCAACTCCACCTGCCCCTCCTCTGACCCCTGCGCAGCGGCGCAAGAGAGAGATCCAGGAGAAGCTGCGAGAGCAACAGGCGCTGCTCGCAAAAGCGGAGAGGCAGGAGGCTGCTGAACTGGAAGCTGCAACAGATGCTTCCAGAAAAGAGCATCTGCTGCAGCAAGCTCAGAAGACTGTTGCGGACAGCAGAGTGGCCCAGTGTACAAGGGACCTGGCTGAGCTGGTCCTCTTACAGGACAAGCTGACAGCCGACCACTTTACAAACTGGGATGAGAGGATCCAGCGGTTGGAGACCCGGGTGGCTGACTTGGGAACTCAACAGTCGAAGATCCTGGATGCCATCCAGAATCTGACTGCTCAGTTAACAGCAGCCAACGTTATCAGTCCCCTGATCCCTGTGGTCCCCTCTCTGAATCCCAAAAAGCCTTCTCAGTCCCCTTCTCCACCTCCTTCTCCACCTCCTAAGTCTCCTCATTCTTTGCACAGATCTTCTCCCTTTGTCTCCTCCCAGGCCAAAGCCACACCTCCCACCTTTGTTGTTGTTGTTGCTGGGGACAATAGAGGTCCCAAGATTCCGGCCCCCAACAAATTCAAGGGGGATGACCCCAAGATTGATGTGGGGGACTGGACTGCTAGAACCTGGGCCTATCTGAAGGGGTTCCAGTGCCCAGAGCAGCAAAAGGTGGCCACTGTTGTGGGTCTGCTGGAGGGGCCTGCCCAGAAATGGGCTACCTCTACAGCAAGTCCCTAGAACCAGACTTTGGAGGATTGGGCCTTGACACTGGGGGCTGACAAACTTTTGCAGGCCCTGGAAGATCGGTTTGCAGACAAAGAAAGAGTCCGCAAAGCTGCTGATAAGATAGTACGCCTAGGCCAGCAGCGTTATAGCGGCAGTCTGCAGGCCCTGTTTGCTGAATTTGAACAGCTGACTTCCACCCCTGGTTTGGTGATGTCGGCAAATGATCTGTTGACTAACTTTTGCAGGGCTGTGCCTGAAAAGTTTTGTGTTGCGTTGTACAGCGCCGGTCACAAAGACTGGAGATCATTTGGACGTGCAACACTGGACATGGAAGCTAACCTTCATGTCCAGGCCCCCTCCAGTGACAGGAGGAGAGGCGCCTTCCCTCGCGGTGGTAGAAAGGGAAAGGCGGCCTTTGCATATGCGGGGTCTGG